TATATATATATATATATATACATATGTTAAGGCCTTTTAAACCCTTCCAACACTCTTGCAATATTCTAAATAATGATTCTAAATTCTAAACGCTCTAAAAAACAGAATATCAGCTGATCAGCTGCAGGAGGAAGCTTCTCCCACAGCTGTGGGCTGCACATAGGTGCTAAATAATTTAAAATAATTTATTTTAAATAAAAATTCCATACCAATCATGTGTCTCATCCATAAATCAGCCTCTGTGTGTCATGTCCAATCATACTTTGAAAAACCGCGATAGAGCGAGTCTGTGAAAAACGAACTGCTAAGTAGTGAGGGACTGCTGTACTGTGTTAAACATCAGTGAATACACCTGTGTTTTCAGGAGTGTTTTAAAAGCATGGAGTGAAGTGGCCTGTCTAATATTGAGGGGCAGATTGTTTCAAAGTTTAGGGCCCACGACTGAGAAAGCCCGATCTCCTCTGAACTTCAGCCTGGTTTTTGGTACAACCAAAAGCAGTTGCTCAGATGATCTCAGTGCCTGAGAAGGAACATAAGGATGAAGTAGGTCACTTATGAGGATGCAAGGCCATCAACCTCCTAGGACCTGGCATCCACATATGCAAGAGTTCGGGTCTTAGGAGGTTAATGTACTTAAAGGTCAACAGGAGAATTTTAAAAGCAATTCTGACACGCACAGGGAGCCTGTGAAGGGAGGACAAAAAACTTCCCTGAATTTAATCAAACGTGCTCAAATCTACACGTTCCTGTTAATAGCCAAAATTATACAATTCAGTATTGAGTAAATTCATTAAATTCAGGGAAGGGTTTTTTTTTTTAGGAAAATCCATTTTAGCCTTTGAGGGGAACTGAATTTGAAACGTATTGTTTTATTTTTTACATGATGATTCAAAGCGTACTGCAAAAGAAACACTCTGATTTAAAGAGAAAAGCTTTGATGATTGTAAATGGCCCAAGCCTAGACCTTGATTTGACTGAGAGTCGATGGTTTAATGTCAAGATTTTATGAACAGAACATATTCTGTTTGAAGTGGAACATTTCTATATCAAAACAAGGGGCAAACCCCGTCTGAGTAAAGGTGCCAAACTATTCCAAACACTCACCAAAATACTTTAAATGATGCTCGCAAAATTGACTTTTGAATTATACACATAAAGTATGCTCAAGATGATTATTTTGCCAGTTTTTAATATAATTGTTGCTCATTCGATTCTACAAACTTCTAATTTATTTTATTTTAGAACCCAAAAAATCCTGTTTTATTTCCAGGTTGCCAAGTGAAGTTAGTAAAAATGCACATCTGAAAAAAAAAAAAGGTAATCAGGGAAACTGTTAATAACAAGAATACAGATATTTTTAAACCATATTTTCCTCATTCAAATCTATCTTCTTGGCTTTTATTTGGTTTTGTTTTAAACCTACACTGAATAACTGATGCCAGTAAATAAAAATACTAGACAAATGTATTTAAAAAATGTAAACATATTTATTCACTCTGTGATAATTCAAGGTATGTTTAAGACGATGTTCATCTAAATTAGAGGTATTACTGCAACAACAGTGGTTACATTTCTGGGGACATTTTAACATAATATTTATGGATTTTAAATGTCAAAATATTAAACTGTATATGATTGTTCTTTATTCACATTTTCCTAATTGTAGGTGATTAATATTGATTAGTGTTTTATTTGTTAGTTTGAAAGTTACTGGGTGTGCACATTTTGCTATCAGTTAAAAATGTTGTTTTACATTTGGTATTTTTTCCTGCTGAAGTCAAGCTAATACCTTACCAGTTCTTTAAATGATCTCTCAGTTGGAAGAAAAAGAAAATAGTTTTTGCAGACTGACAAGCTAACTCCTAATGTGTGCAGTAAAACCAACAGTAAAGTGGATTACTGCTGACCTAAAATGTAATATCTTAAATTTAATAGCACATATCTTGAATTCATAAACGTTGAAGTTACTTCTGCATTGCATGGTTGAATCCTGTGGTCCTTTACGAGCACAACAAGCAGCAGCAGATAGATGTAGCACTTCCAGCAGGAATACCTACAGTGCATGGATATGGATATATGTCATATATATGTATGGATAATTAAAAAAACAGCAAAAAAAACCTGCCTAAATATGAACCACAAATACATTTTGAGTTTTAAGTTGACAGCAACCCACTTTGGCCTTGGTTCTTCTTTCAACAGCTGTTATTGTGAATTTAATCAGAATTTAACTTCAACTTTATTATTTATTATCTACAGCAGGTGAGATATTGTTTATCTTTAAACACAACCCTGCATCAAAACATCTAAATTAACCCTTTAATCAATCTTTGGAAAACTATTACACAAAACAGACTCTTGAAGAAGAAAATTTTAAATAGAAATACTCCAGTAAAAACACACAAAATAATTATGTAGAGGAAAAAAATGTTTGGCAAGTTATTTATTCAAACCTCCAACAATATGTTCTGAAAACTTTTCCCCATAATTACTGTTTTTTTATATAGTTCGTTGAGCATCTAGGAACACAGGAAGTGTAAATGAAGACCAAATTCCTCCACACAGAGGCACTAATTGCCTGTGAATGTATTTCTGACAGTTTTCTGACCTCCACACTTTTTTCTCTTTGCCAGAAAGAGCTTAAATCAACTTCAAGTAAAGAAGAAGAATGTATTTTCACAGCTGAGTACTGAAATGATTAGCTGCTTAAGTAATTCTTTATTAATTTGATTTTTATTTATAGTTTAGGCTGAATGTTTTCGTCTTCTCAATGAATAGTCGGAATGTTTTATATTTTCATAAACTAATGGGTTTTTGATAAATAAAATAATGAACTAATGGTACCACTTTACATTAAGGCTTTCCTTATAGATGGCTAATAACTAGGTTATAGATACATTAATTATTCCTCTATAATCACTTTAGAAATCATTAATAACTTCTTATTATGCATTAATTAAGGGTGACAGAGAGACAAAAATGACCAGTTTCTTGACAAATAATGAACCAAACATTTATTTAGCAAACAACATTTTACTTTGTCACTGCATTATAAGTATCTACAAGTAATATATCCTAAAAACATGAGGTTGACAAATACTTATTGTGCTATAGTGACTTAGTCTGAGATGTTTAATATAACAACTCTAGATGAAATATATATGAGAACAGATTTGTCTCACTATTTGGCAACAAACAAGTCAGTTTTGTGTCTCTGTCACCCTTAATTAATGCATAATAATCAGTTATTAATGATTAGCCATTTATAAGGGGAGCCTTATTGTAATGTGGTTCCGAAATAATTAATATTTTTGTTTTACTTTTTGACATTTGTTGTGCCCATTAGTTCATGTGACGCTCACACGGCTGAGTTGTCATTCATGAAATCAAACCTAGTTGTGTTTTAAACAAAAATTAAACTCTGCCTGTAGAGCATAAATTAATAACGAGCATGTGACATCAGATAATGTGCAGTGGCGTGACCAACGTGTTTGTTTGTTTCTAGATGGTTTTAGGGATCCAGTGTGAGCTGCGGAAGCAGCTGAGGAGCTTCATCTCCCTGGAAAGGTTACCTCTGCTCTCCGACCCTGTGGGCTCCGCCTGCCATAGACCGTCTCATCCTCCCCCCTTCGGCTCCCGGCCCTCCATCCTTGGCCCCAGCATCCGCTTTGCAATCTCGCACGGTCGAGTGAGCGCCGAGGTTATCGGCGTGGCCAGCGAGGACAGCCGCAGGGTGGCGGCCATTTTGAACAGCGCCATCCACCTCAGCGAGCTCAGCTTCACGGTGCACGGCTGCGACACGCACCACTTCCTCCAGTCCCGCCCCATCGAGGAAGACCTCGCCCTGGGGTTAGGAGTCGGGGGCCGTGTCCTGGAGAACGGCGTGAACGTGAGCGTGTCCCAGATGAGTGCCACGGTGAATGGCAGGACTCGGCGCTTCGCCGACATCACCCTCCAGCAGGGGGCGCTGTGCCTGTGCGTGCGTTACGGTGGGACCGAGGAGGAGGAGCGGGCTCGTGTGATGGAGGAAGCGAGGAAGAGGGCGGTGGAGGGAGCGTGGGAGAAGGAAAGGAGGAGGTTGGATATGGGGGACGTGGGGAGCAGAGCGTGGAGCGATGCGGAGAAGCAGCAGCTGCTGTCCGGAGGACGCGTCCAGGGCTACGACGGCTACTACTCTCTGCCCGTGGAGCAGCAGCCAGAGCTGTCCGACTGCCCCACCAACATCCACTTTATGACACTAAGCGAGGTGGGGGGCAGGTAACAGAGACACACAAATAACCCCCCACCATCCCACCAAAGACTGCCTGTTTCTACTCTGCTCTGATTTGTTCTACTGTTTCTATACTTTACTGAAAAAAGAAGTCGATGACTCTGGAGAACAAGAAGAGAGACCGAGGGGGGAAAGAAAAACTTCCAAATGCCTTTAATTGTGACAAAATGATGGTATTTTATTATTATCGTCCAGTTTCTCCGATTTCTAACGGTGGCACAAGCAGTGTGGTTTGGCTGTGGCTTTGCTTTTTGTATTCCAACTGACTGACAGATGGACAGAGACGGACGGACAGACAATCTGCCTTTTGCTGTTTCACAACTCTTCATCCCTTCGGACTCCGTTCACTGATCTGTGGCTATGAAGACTGTGGCTCCACCAGTGACTGATCCCCCCCATCACCCGTTCACGACTCGCACTAAGAGCTCTCCGGTTGCCATTTGAGTTCCCATATGGTTTACCTCGGATATACTATCGTTTACATATTGTGTAAAAGAGGCCTTTTTGACTCTGACGCTCCCTTTTAGAGAAGAAACCTGTGGTTTCCGCCTCTGGTGTGTGCTCCAACTGTAGCTCGTATGAGTGTGTGTGTACTAAAATCAAGAATGTACATAGCCAGTGCTTTCACACTGAGGAGAAGAAAAAAAAGTGCTCAACTGGAAGTTCTGTTGTTCATAAGTGTCAGTATTGTTAATCAATAGAAAAAAGTTACATTTTTGCAAAGAATTATACATGGCTATAGTAATTATTCTCGCTAAAACAGCTCACTTTATTGGGTTACAAAGCTGATTAAAGTTATTATGTGTGAATTACCACGTCGCTCCCTGGGATTTTGTAGGCGCTGTTGCTTATTATTTCCCCTGTTTCGTGTGTCTTGTTTTTCTGCGCCTCTCCTCCCCTGCTGCACGTTCTGTTGTCGCGGCCCTCTTTGTTCCCATCTCTGGGACTCTGTATACGTTTCAAATCTCTGCTGCCATTATCACCCATCATTACGGCTCAGACCGAGATCTGCATGAAAAAAAAAACTGCACTTGTCAGAAGAAGAAGGAGGAAGAGGGGGAGGAGGGTGGGGTGCACAGAGGAATGGAGAGAAATGTGACAGCTGAGGCTCAGCGAGTGGGTGGTGAGTGCAGAAGGGGCAGGACCTGGAGTTGGCTGCGCCTTTCCTCTACAGCTTGTCTCCTCTCATTAGGAAATGCCAATCAGGCTACACTTCCAAAGCCTCTCCCCACCAAAGCTAAAAGTTAAAAAAGAAAAGTAGAGAAGTTTGTGCCTTTTTTTTTTTTTTTTTTTTTAAGCTAATCCACCTCCCCGTCCGCCTGCCTCCCCCTCCCTCCCACCATCTCATCACCATCTGCCCAACATTAATTGTCGTGTTTGTGCTCGCGGGGCTGTGCGGACGACAGCGACGCTCGATGCATATGTTCTGACTGCGAGCAGGTGATATACGTTGACGATCGGCTCGTCCCTTCATTTATTTATTTCTTTCTGAACCATATGCTCCGCTAGCCCGAGCTCATCTCTGCGGTGGAAACGATGGAGGCTCCGGTTGCTAGGAGACGGCTGCAAGGATTGTCTGGGCTGAATGGATGCTCTGGCTGTTCTCTCACCTTCTACCTCCTCTCTCTCTTTCATATTTTTCACGAGGCCCTGGCGTTGTCAATCAGAGGAAATGACGAAGCCTCCCACCCATCCCTCTCCCTCCGGCAGTCAGCATTTTCTCCATGGAAATCGCTACTTCAATATGTCAAATTGAATTTTTGCCTCCACATTATATGTCAGTTGGAGGCTAGCTTTGTGAAAGGCTGTGTAAGCACGACCTTATTTAGAAGAGTTTATTTTAGACAAAAAAACAAACATTTATTTTCATTACCACTCACTCAACTCTATTGCATTAAGAAAACAGAGCACAATGTTTGTTGTCAACTTATGTATGCAGTAATGGATATAAATGTTTCAGCAGTTCAATATTTCACATCACATCTCGGAAAGATATGCAGCGCCTTCTGTGCTGCATGCGCAGAAATTACTGCAAGAATGGTGAGACATCTGAGTCAGAGAAACAAAGAAGAAGGGCATGAAAGAAGAAGCCACGGCAGGACTCGTGCACAGGTAGTTCGGCTTGTAATCAGCTGGATTGTTGGGTTTGCAGCCTAACCGAAAGCTTGCCGCACCTCCTTGTTTTTCTGTCCCTGAGCGACAGGTGTCGCACGCCGCTGGAGATAAGACGTGGGGCTGTCACCGGGAGTCTGTCGCTGCGTGGGGGCCTGCGCCCGGCTCTGAGCGGTGACGGGGAAGAGCAGAGGCATGGCGAGTCCCTGTCCGTCCTTCTGGAAAGCTGCTATCAAGTTCTTGATGTGCCGGAAATACCTCTTCTGCACGCCAGCAGTGGTCTGAAACACAAGGAGAAGCAGAGAAGATAAATTCATCTCCACATCAGATCTCACAGCAGCAGGGAGGGGGTGTCATGAAAACAACTCTGCGTATAAAATGCTTTATTAAAGACTGACGTAAGAAAAAAGTTTTACTAATCCAAGTTTCTGGTGTTATTAACGATAAAAGAACAAAACGATGATGCAGTAAAGATGTGAGATAGGTACAAGTATAAACAGCTTAAAAAGAGAAATGGGCTGAATGTACTCGAGGTTTTAAAGGCTCAACGTGAGAAAGTGCTTGTAAACAATTTAAAATCCTTCAATGGGGAGTTGAAATGCTCCAAAGATTCATCTTCTGGTTTTTACTTCCAGCTTTTTGAGAATCAGTCAACCTTGCATTATTGAATTATTTATCAAACTATATCATAAACATGTTAAGCTTTTTTGTTGTTTGTTTGTTTGTTTATGTGTGTGTGCATTTTTGTTTCAGCCAAACTGTGCAAAAAAATTCTACATTGTGGGGACCAAAGCCTGGTCTCCATAAGGATGAGTCTCATTGGTGGATTAGGGTTATGTATGTACTGGTACTGGTTAGGGTTATGTATGTACTGGTA